GGTGTGGTCCCATATATTCCTAGAGGTGGAATTTAGTAGATGACTTTTTAATGTGAGTATTTACGAGTAGTCAACATCCGAGTTGTATTACGTGCGTATGTTGTCGGTGCTAATATATAGAGTATAGAAGTATTGCTTCAGAAGCTATTGTATGAGTTAGGTTTTTGAAGTTGACTTTTATTTTTATTAAAAATTTCCTTTCAAATTTATTGTGCCTTATGTATTTTTTACAGAATAAGGTCGACAAACGAGCAGACAGTCCATTCACCTGATGGTAAGTGGATACTGTGGACTATGGCACATAGACATATGATACATCTATATCGATTAAGATATAAACGCAGATGCGTCGCCATATTTAAGGACTAAGATGGAATGCCTTGTTTCCATTAAAAAGGAGTCTCCGATTGTCGACACTCACCATACGAAACAGCAGTATTAGCTCCTATTCTACGCTGGTAATCTGTGAGAGCGTGATTCTTTCCCGGTTGAGCCGACCCATTTGTGATACAGCTATATACCTGCACAAATGGGTCGGCTATACCACGTAAGTATGTAGGTATTGCCAGTATTAGCCACATACTAAGTGGCAGTTAAATCTTTATTTGAGACTAACGAAATGCCACACATACTTATTACGTACCGATTTTATTGCGATTTATTTGCACTATCCATTATTGTGATCGCCCTTTGACATTTTGTCGATAATACCATCTATTTAACATAGAATACCGTAAATCCTTCGACTATAATATTATGGTCTAAAGTCTAAACGTTAGTCTACTTTACATACATACGACGTGTTGACAAACTTCGTACATATTCGTTTTTTTTTTAAATTACTCTGATGGATTACTTGCAATGTTTTTCTTTACGGCCAGGCACATAATAAATTAGAACTTAAAACATTGAATAATAGTTCTATTGATTTTGGCTATGATTTCCGTGTATCTATTTTTACGCGAGCACTTACCCTGACCTACCACGGCTATTTATATAAAAAAAAAACTAATCTGTATTTTAATCACGCATTCTAATGATCTCTCGCGGATACAGCCTTTAGGTCATTAGATGTACATTGTACATGGTGATCTCATAACTCATATTTTTAAATAGCGGAGCTGTGACGTCAGCGATCTTAGATAAAATAATATTACTAAGATGGGTACTTGTGCTGCACTTATATTTGATTCTACTATAGTTTTATCAGAAAATGGTATATCGTGCGATATGGTGATTATGCTGCAGAAGTGGGTGGCAGAATCGGGAAAGGACGCCCTAAGTCGGAAGTTTACTGACCAAATTAGCGATATATTGAGTATCGGCCAAAAAAGAGTACCCTTAACCAACGAGCATATATATGTAGAAATATGAATGTGAAATAAACTAGAGAAGTGTGTCAGAATAATGTGAAATGGAAGTCCGTAGGGTTCTGCCTACCCTTTTGGAAAACAGACGTAAGAAGTTATGTTAAATTTATCATACAGACAAATAAATAGTCTGTAATTTTGATTCAAATTAAGTATGATTACTGTGGTAGCTCAGATGGTTAGCGCTCGCTGTAAATTTCACAGTAGGTACGGGAGCAACCCGGGTTCGATCCCCGCCGGCACCAATGAAATTGTTAATTGCAATTTTAGTGCTGATATACCACGTGCTCGGCGGTGAAGGAAAACGTCGTGAGGAAACCTGCATGTCTGAGAAATAATAGAAAAATAATATTTCAAAGACATGTGAAGTTCGCCAACACGCATTGGGGCAGCGCGGTAGACATTTCCTTGCCCGAAAACCCTCTCAGAAATGAGAGGAGGCCTGTGCCCAGCAGTGGGACGTATATAGGCTGCAACTTTTATGATTACTGTATGCGTTATTTTGCTACCAGACTGCGGATCGCGCGACTTGGTTCATTCATAGATTACATTAGCTCCTTCATTCATTAACTGCCTCGTTGATCTAAATGGGTTCCAATCCCGGGTCGGGTCAACATCACTTATTAGGCTTTTCCGTCAAGAAATTCCACTGCTACTGAAGCTGCCCGGAGTCAGGAAGTTGGCGGTGTTTCACCCACGTGCTTCGGAAAGCTTGTAAAGCCGTTGGTCCTGCGCCTGATCGCTCTGTGGTTATGTCGGTTTATCGTCCCATCGGTATATGAGAGTGAGGGAATAGAGAGTGCACCTGTGCTTGCGCCAACACTTGGACAATAAAATCCTGTACTGCGCAGATGGTTAGTTTCCGTGGAGACTGGCCGCCGTGACCGAAATTCGGTCTGTAGGACATTATTACTACCTACATTACATCAAAAATCCACTGTTGAATACAGGCCTCTGCCATAGATTGCCTCATAGGAGGGATTTTGCCATAGTTGCCACGCTCGATAGGCTGGTCGGCAAGCACAGTTTTTAATTAGTCTCAATTGTTTATCGGGAAGATGCAGTTGCCTATCTCCTGTGTCAGTTTCCCTGTGTAACTTTGTTTTAAAAGCGAATATATTGAAGGAATGAAGGAATCTTGACTTTTTGGAGTCGAGTAACTGGTATAACATGGGAGACCCTTTTTATTGGGAACGAGGCATTCCATCTTAGTCCTCACGGGTGATAACGCATCTGCATTTTGATTCGCAAACGTGGATAGGTTTAGATGTCTATGCCACAGCAACCACTTACCATCAGGTGGACTGTATGCTCGTTTGTGATTCTTATACTATAAAAAATAAAAAAGCATGATAGAGAACCATAATAATTTGTTTTAGTAGCGCATTGGCTATGCGTTAGCTGCCGCGTTACGGGTCGTGGGTTCAAATCCAGCACGGAACGTGTGTTAATGTGTTTGTATAGCCAACCTATAATTAATTGTCTAGAATCTGTATATTTATCAATATCATTGAGTTATATGTACTACGTACTAGACAAGCCATTCCAAACAAAAATTGTGTCCTACTCTGTCTTCGCGGGAGTAGTAGTCGCGCATGCACGAAGACTTTATTTGATATAAAATAAGATATTAATATAAAATAAATATAAGAATGTAATATAAAATACTCTTATTTTAATCTAAACCAACATATTTCTAAATAAAATGTAATAATAATTATTTTATGGAATTCACAAATCTTCAATTTACGCAATATTTAGTTTGTATAGATTGCAGTACAGTTCAGTTGAACATAGTCAATGTTCGGAATAGCTTCTCTAGTACGTAGTACATATAACTCAATGGTCAATATAATTTCATTATCCAATTTATGTTATGCTCTTATTATATTGAGTTTGGTAAAAATTAATATTGCATGCATTATTTAATTAATAATTAAGTTGTAGACATTTTTAGTAAACACGTATAATGTTAATTAATTAAATTTAATATTTTATGTTACAATTAAGTTTTCCCGCACAATGTATATTGTTTTTAGGAATAAATGACTATGACTATGACTATGTATGTAAATGCCTCCACTATACAACGGTAATTTCAAGAAAGGGAGTTACGTTTTTGTTCAAATCAGACAGCAGTAGAATTTTTACCATTCGATAAAGATATATAAGTAATCTTCTCCGCATAAAAAATTGGCAATAGTACGTAATTTCCTCATTGCTTTGTTCTAAACAACGAAATCGCGTGATATAATAAAAAAATATCACCTTGTCGCTTTAGAATCGAATTGCTTGATATCGGAAATATTGGAAGGTCTACTCGTTTCAATTTACGTAACCACGTCTCGTTAGGTTACTGAAGGAACATGTTTGTTTTTATAGAATAAAGAGAACAAACGAGCACATAGTCCACCTGATGGTAGGGTTACCAGATGAAAAAATTAAAGGTCCGGAGAAAAGGCCTGATTTCTATTTAAAAATCCTGAGATTTTTTTTACAGTTTGAGAAGAAAACCTTGCTTAAAAAGGTATCTTCACATATTAAGTATGATAAACCTATTTAAGTACCTACTTGGATAAATAAGTTTTGATTTTAATTGTGGAAATATTACCAAAGGAAAATTATTTTTAGTTTGTTTAACTTTTTATTAAAGAGATTTTTAAAATGTAAGCTGTATTATATTGAAAGTTCTAAAAATCCTGAGATTTCATGAGATTTGCAAAATCCAGTCGCAATCCTGAGAAGTGTCTAAAAATCCTGAAATCTCAGGACAAATCCTGAGATATGGTAACCCTACCTGATGGTGGATACCGTGGCCCATAGACATCTTCATTTACCCTCGATTAAGATCAAAAATTCAGATATTGTCACCCCTGAGAACTAAGATGGAATGCCTCGTATCCATTAAAAACGGTCTCCAGTTCAATCACCATACGAAACGCCGCATTAAAATGATATTTTACGCTGGTATTCTGTAAGAGCGCCATACTGGTATTCTGTAAGTCCTTCCCCGGTCGAGCCAAACAACTCGTGCCACACATTATTATAGCTGCAGCATAGCTCCGCCACATATAAAGAGAACCTTTGCTCATAGTAAAGACTCTGTCGTATTCGAATTGAGACACTGTAATTTCAGTAAAACTGTTCTATACTAATCGTTTTTGTAATGATTTCTATATGACTCGACATTTCAATGTTGAGTTGTCACAGCGTCCGAGTGCTATTATATAATCTGAGTACTTTAGTATGCGTGTGTGTGAATGAATAGCACGAATAACACAAAATAATCTATAACTAGAACAATAATTATTATAGCAGAATGCAAGTACGTTAAATATGTGTGCACACACGTGTAAGTTTCGAAATAGTGTCTCTCGTATCATTATAATTTCTAAGGTGATTTTAGTGATACTCTTTTAGAATTTAGCACATACCCTACGGATATAGAAAAAATTGTGAACGAGATAGTTCGTTCGTAATAAGCTTCAGATCTCTTTCGAAAGGGTTAATTAAATAAAATATTTACCCTACATTATTTCTAATGTAAGGTAAATTTATAAAAATAACAATATGTTGCGACCATTATATCCCTTGCAACTTTATTAATATATTACAATGCACTTTGTACAGCGCGCGAGGATCCGACGCGTCAAACTGTGGGCGCGTGACTTCACCGGGTTGGGGCTGCGGTGCGGTGGCGGCGCGCGAGAGGGCGTGCACGTGCACTCGGTGCTCCGAAGTGGACCAGCCGCGGCTGCCAACTTACAGCCAGGTAAACTATCATACCTACACGTTTCTCTATTTATTTACAAGCTTTTGAATCTACTGCATCAGATCAACAAAAGAAGATAGACAGAACACTAGGTAAATCAAGTGATGCCGAAACCATTTTAATGGTATAATGGTGACAAACGAGTAATCCACTAACAACAACTAACAAGTAATCCTCTTCCGGTACTGCACAACATCTATTCTCGATTACGAATCAAAATGTAGATGCATTGTCACAGATATACAACAAACTAATTTTTTTCGGTCGCCAGAACGTAGTCAGCAGGGTTGCACCGCGAGATGGAAACGTTCGCTATATATTTATATCTATCTGATACCCAAATACATACATGCATTGTAGGAATGACTAAAGTTTTTCTAATAGCCCAATGGAAAACAATAATACCTATACAACCAACAAACACTCAATTTTTTTACTATTATAAGTCAATACTGGTCTACTATCCCACTTAATAGTAAATCGTGTAGTAGCCGAAGATGGTAAGGAACGTGACTAAGCTGACCAACGCCTATAATTATTTTTGCCTTGAAAACACCCACATTGTAATCGAATGGGAAGGCAGATGTTGACAAATTATTCCACTCCATCGCTGTACGATTTGCGAACGACGAAAACATTTGATTTGATTGCGTGGTATGTAGGCAACAAAGAGTTGGCGACTGGCCAAGTGTCTGTTTGTCCGATGGCGGAAATGGGAGAGAAGTATTAAGTCTTACCGCTACCATACAGTAAACTGTTTATTGGGTTTAGTGTATGGAAACTAGTGAGGTTCTACGCTGTTATACGAGTATGTGCAAATACATTTAATAACTTTAATGTTCACTAGTATTTCAAAGTCGTCACTGAGATCTAAATAAGTCAAGATGACATTACTATCGTCACCATGATATTGTACAGTACCAGGCAGTGGTTCGTACGTAAAAATAATTTAAAAAAATTCAATTCAACCGGGGAATAAGCATGCTCTTACAAAATACCAGGCGTCGAGTGACAACATGACAACGCAACTCACATTCAGAGTGATAACACCGCCTGTTGCAATGATCATTAATATTGTACGTCTTCATTCATTATGTATTTGGCGTATAGTAATAATAATAATAATAATACAATGATAAGTTATCGTTGATGGATGAACATAAAATACTAATCAAACTTATCATCAGATGAAGGATTGCACCGTGCACGATTTGTCACCTCCGCTTGCCACAGCAAATGTTAATTAAAAACTGACTCATTAATTTATTTTGTATAATTAAGGCGTGAATTATCTTGTATAACATTGATGTCGAACTTTTTTGCTAAGTGGGTCAAATATTGTTATTTTTTTAGTACTAGCTCGTAGGTCACTAACTCAATGGCGTCTCTTAAAATCCTCAAACTTTAAAAAAAACGTTTACGTTTCCTTTTTGTTTTACAACTTAGAAATATTGTTAACCCTCCTGCCAAGAGTGGCAACTAACTAGAAAGTCTATGTTAAGGAATTGACTTTCGAATGATTGGATGAAAAAAAAAGAAAATAATAGGGCGTCAGGGAGAAGAGGAGTTAAAGATGCGAAACATATAGTTATTGCGATTAATTAACCTGTTCCGCCTTAAGACGACACATCGGAAACCGTTTAAGCTGGCTATCGCCGGACTTACAAAACTAACAAAACGCCATCATAAGGTCTAAAATTGCGTAGCGCCCGCGACGATTAAGACTGCTTAGAAAACCCTTAGAATCTTAACATATTTAAAAAAGAAATATTGATTTAAGTAATCAAAATAATGAGCAAGCAAATTACGAATATTGATGTTATGAATGTATTTGAGTGATTCCCAAGCATAATTAAGTAATTTCGTTGTAATTTCAACTATAGTGATTTCTTAGAGGTGTTTTCGGAAATAATTATGATCGCGTCAAAATTATACAATCGTGTTTTTGAACAAGCATATTCAAGATAAAGACATAAATTTACCTATATCAAAATTCCAGTTCTGTTAGTAGTGTCATAATCCTATACTATTCGATGAAAGGAGGTGCATTTTCTCGCGGTGTCGCCTTAATGCAGTCTTTGCGGTTAGTACTAAGGATTCCCGTAGTAAAAGGAGAGCTATGTCATGTCCAGTATAATAACCCAATTTTAGCATTCTTAACCAAAAAAAACTCCCTATTATTCCTCGCATGGTCTCGATTTACAGATAATTTTATGACATATCGATTATTAATTTCCAGGCGACAAAATCAAAAGCATCAAGATCGAGTTAACGGGCACTCCGCTAGAAGATGCCGTTGCAATCCTCTCGCTAGCGTCACCTTATCCTGTAGAGTTGGAGATAGTGGAGGGGGGAAGGGCGAGTGGGGGAGGATGGGGTGTGAGACACCCGCTACTGAAGAGGGCGGGCTCTATGGGGGATGTTTGTACGGTACGTAACTGTTGTACTTGATTAAATTAAACATTATAATTACCTGAGATTCGCATAAAGCCTTATGTTATAGTGAATCATTGAAAGTGTGAATTAACGTTTTTTCCTAAAGAATTATATAATTCCTAAATAATTCTATCGTCACACATTTTCCTTATTCATCAGCGCTTATATATATATAAAGTAAATTAAATTACAATAATTACCCTATATATAGGGTAATTATTGTAATTTACAGGTAATTAATAATTAATAATTACAGGTAATTAATGTATTTGTGTACGTCTGTATCAATACATTTATATGATATTTGTATAGAATACCTTCTCTATATAATATATTCTGGTTCATTCGAACTTCGTTACCTTTTTTTCCTCATTATTAGTTTACTTTTGCTGCACTATCTCCCATATGTTTATCTCTGCTTAGCCTAATGGTAGACTGGGAGAATCCGCCATATTATGTACGATTTTTTTGTGCATAAAAGTTTAAATAAATAAAAAAAGTCTTACCTCGTTTGGGAAATACCTCAGGAGCTCCTAAGGATGCCTCGTTTAGATGCGAAAGAAATTAAATTGTATTATAATTATTATAGACGATGGTGTGTTTTTCATAGTGTAGTAATGTTAAGGTATGTTGAATGAGCGGGGTTAAGGTTATTATAAGAAAATTATTTTATTCCTTTTAGCTATTTGAAGTCAAAGCCGTCTTTTATTAAATGTTTATTAGTTTCTACAAAAATATCATTATTATATCATAACGGTGACAAACGAGCACACAGTCCACCTGATGGTAAGTGGATGCTGCGGACTATAGACATCTGCATCTACATCCCCTGAGGACTAAGCCTAATGCCTCGTTCAGTTTACTTGTATTCGAATGTAACCACACCAATAGGACAAAACATGTGACTCTTGGTTTTGACACATTAAAAGAAACTATACAGTTGTGACCTTTTAATACTGTTGTCGCAACAGTCACGAAATATTATACAACGAACGTGTCGTTATAGAAAGTAAAAGTTACATACGGCTTTAAGTGTCGTCGTGTAGACTGACAAGTTTAAAACTAGTCAATATACTTTTTCAATAGTCTTTTTAAGTTCACGGCTGGTCATAGGTATTTTCATGAATGTATCTCGCACTAGTTTTGCTGCTTCCTATCGCCTATCTGTGAAATTAAGGTTACGTGTTCTTTTTCTTCTAGAATTGAAATCACAAACAAACTTGGGCCACCTAATGGTAACTGATTATTGTATTCCATAGAAATTTTTATACGTGGTAGAGCCATGCTGCAGCTATATTATGGTTGTAGCACGAATGGGTCGGCTCGAGCGGGGAAGGACCACGGTCTCACAGAATACCAGCGTGAAATAGCAGCTTAACTCTGCTGTGTTTCGTACGGTGAGTGTAGAGTACCGGAGATACTTTTTACTGGAAACGATTCATTCCATCTTATTCCTCACGGGTGACAACGCATCTGCATTTTGATTCGTAATCGAAGATAGATGTAGATGTCTATGGGCCACAGCAACCACTTACCATCAGGTGCACGGTGTGCTCGTTTGTCACCCTTATCCTATAAAAAAACCTGCAAAATTCAAAAAAAAAAATGCGACAAATACGTTGTCACCTCACTTCCGAGGGCCAAGATGGAATGCCTCACAGCGTGTAATTACTGGCTTTCCATACCCTTTAGACTGGAACACATTAGCGCACGAACTGATGCTTGGTAGTAGTAATAGGTGGCAGGGTAGTGTAGCTACCCAGTAAGTCTTATGTGAGTGAATGGATATTATGTCATTTTGTCATCTAGCTGCAGTGTGCGTCTATACGTGGTAGAGCCACGCTGCAGCTATAATATTACATAGTTGTATCATGAATGGGTCGGCTCGATCGTGCTAGGAAGGACCACGCTCTCACAGAATATCAGCGTAAATTAGCACCTTAATGTTGCTGTGTTTCGTATGGTGAGTGTGGAGAACCGGAGACCGAGTTACATGAAACGGGGCATTCCATCTCAGTCCTCAGGGGAGACAACGCATCTGCATTTTGATTCTTAGCTTAGGATAAATGTAGATGTCTTTGTGCCACAGTATCCACTTACCATCAGGTTGACTGTGTGCTCTTTTGTCACCCATATTCTATTGTGCTTTTGACAGATTTTTGCAGTCAAAAGTGCTTTTGACTGATTTTTGCAGTCAAAACTGCTTTTGACAGGTTATGAACGGTTATGGACTGTAACATACGAGTATATACTTGAAGGCGAAAGGCTTTATAAGTGTTTTATACAAGCTTGTTACATTTGCGAAGCTGAATCTTGTAAGCGAAACCCATCGCCACTAATAACTTCCTTACAGATCTACATTCACTCACGTAATGTCCATGATTATAGTCTGGAAACACCTACACTGCGCACGTGACCGCTCTAATAGGGGAAACCTTTAGTAATGCCGGCCCGTTTAACTTGTTTTCTCTCTGTATGATGTTTATACATTTACGTGTTTCAAATAATTATGTACAATTGCAATTTCATTGGTGTTAATTGCAATTTAAGTGCCAATTTACAATTTGTTCGAAGGTGAATTGAAACGTCGTGAAGAAACCTACAAATTAAGGAAACTTCTAATTTATTTTGTTACGTCTACGTCGTAATATATTGTTCGTATCGTATGATGTACTTATCGCATTATATTATTACCTGCATAAAATAGTTTTGAAGATATTAGTCTGTAAACGGATATTTTAGAACAGTAAAAGCAAAATTACATACATAATATTAATAATATACTATTATCCATTCCATTACAGCCTATAAAAGTCCACCGCTGAACTTTTGTACGCTGTAATGAAATGGATAATAGACTTTCCCCATAGATTGCCTCATAGGGAGATTTTGCCATAGTTGACATGCTTGACAAGAGGGTTGTGAACGCAGTTCTTTATTATTTGGAGTTGTTATCAGGAAGATGCTGGCGCTCATCATCTGATTCAATTTCTCTCTGTCGCCTCTTACGACACCCACGGAACAATATGAGGCAGTGGATATTCTTACACCGCCATTACACGGTCTTTAATATAATATACAATAATCTAATATATAAATCTTCGTTCATATTGTATACAGTACCATACCGTTCATCAGATTGTAGTAAAACTCTGTCAACTTATCGCTTGCACTTGCGCGAAGGTTATAGGCATAGTACAATTAACTTACAGTAGGTATCCCGCGTATCAGTATCGACAAACTTATTTGAAATTTATATAATATCATTCTACGTCAATGAATGTATTTTAATTTCTAATTAAACAATATGAATAAGAGTGACAAGCGAGAACACATTCCACTTGATAATAAGTGAATATTATGACCCATAGACATCTACATCTACCCTCGATTAAGAATCAAAATGCAAATGCGTTGTCATCTCTTAGAACTAAGATAGAATTAGTCTTTAACAAAAAGGGTCTTGAATAGTATTATTCAGCTGTTTTGCGCTGGTATTCCGTGAGAGCGTGGTCCTTACCCGTTCCAGTTCTCTCTGCAGACATAACATAGCTGCAACGTGTCTCTACCTCGTAAAGAACGTGTCTGCACTAAGTGGTTCCATAAGAAGTGTTCTGTTGTACTAATATTGGTATGCACACTAAAAAGAAAAAATGCGAATTTTCTAAAATGCTTCTAACGGAAGATAGGTCGCAAGGAACCTTTGCAAACGTTCTCTATATGCGTCGATTGAATAACATTCAATAAAGAAACCGCATGCAGAAATGCTATCTTGCAATCACACAATTTATTCATGAATAATAAATAGCTAACCAAACTCTGAGGCATTCGTAATGCGACAACCCCTTCCCCTCTTGCATTATTGTTTGATATACAAATTGCATATATAATTACTCATTCATAAACTCTCAACGACAAACTTTTATAGACACCGCCGTTCTAAAGGAAGTATCATTGATCAACCTAAGTATCAAAACAATGCGAACCATAATAAGTGCTAATGCTTTCAAAATATGGAAGTTTATCGATCAACATTAATGTCTTACAGCTTTGTTTAAGACGCGTGTTTAGGATACAATGTCGCCTACGCAATGGAATGTAAATCGGTTATGTTTCTATTGTGTCAGTCTGTTAGTATTGTTAGATGATGAACGGAGTAAACGCCGGATAGCCTGATTTAACAAAGTATGACTTTATACCCCTATAACCAGAGGCGGCCTTACCCATTGCGAGGCTCCGGGCGGCAGATCTTTGCGAGGCCCTTTGTCCTTCGTGAGTATGTGATGCGAAAGTAGGTCTGGTTGTTTGGTTTAGGTATTTGTCATGTTTGAGGAGAAATACTAAGGTTACATAAATAAATAAAATTTGAGTTTTAAAATATTTTACATTGAAAAATTTACAAAATTAACAAATACAGAGATGATAAATTTTGAAATTTATGTTTGCGGCTTTTCCTAAGACTAAAATCTTTAATTAAAGCACGATAATCTAACGAATGAGCTACGTCATTTTCGATTGAAAGAATAGCAAGGGCTGAAAGCCGATCTTGTGTCATCGAATTCCTCAAATATGTTTTAATAATTTTAAGTCTCGAGAAACTCCTTTCAGCAGACACAACTGTAACAGGTGTGGTAGCAATAATTCTCAGGACTATTTCGATAGTGGGATAAACTTCAATTAATTTTTTTTCTATTATGTATTTCAGCACCGAGATAATATCGTCGTTTCCGTCATACACATGAATGAACATATTGAGTTCTTCGTACAATTCATGTCCATCAATATCACATGAGTCTCCTACTGTCATAGATATTTGCAAGTCGCTGCATTGCTTCAAAATTTCATTATCACACATTTCCTTCAATCTTTTTATATTATACATGAAACCAAATATGCTTTCATGATGTTTAAGAGCCTCAAACCTAGGATGGCAGCTTGCGCGCACATTGTCGACAATGACATAAAAATAGTTTATTTTGAAAATTTGTTCCGCA